TATGTATGTATGTATGCATTTATGCACGCATGGATGTATGTATGTATGCTTGTGTGTATGTGTATATATATAGAGGAAGAGAGAGAGAGAGAGAGAGAGAGAGAGAGAGAGACGCCTCATGAAAACCATGTCAGTACTCTTCAAAAACGCAGCCGCTCCTCCTGCATATCGCTCAGCGAACAGAGCTGCAGGCTCTGGGAGAGGCAAGTAACCTGCCACAGCAGCTAATTAGGCTTTGCGGGTTTGAGGTTTCGGGCTTGGGCGCGAGGGCGACAGGGGTGCCAAGATCTGCTGATGAACAATGTCAAGCATGATCCCGAATACGGACTGTCGTATTTAACACTAACTTGGGATCCGTTTCAAAAGTGCGCTCTTCGAGGAGCCACAAAGAAACCCAATTTCAGAGCCCCCCCCCCCCCCCTCAATTTAGGGTTTAGGGTTGAGGGCTTAGGGTTTAGGGCTTAGGGTAAAGGGTCTCAAAGGGTTTTTGACTTTGGCGACCCCGAACTCTTTTCACTCTTGCGCCCGCATTAGCCGAACTCGGAAGAGTGTTGGACGGCCTTCGTGGATTCGTTGCCGAGGAGGCTTAGCCGGTTCCCGTTCTAGAGTTGCTGGGTGTTTAAGGGTAGGGTTTAGGTTGAGGGGTTTAGGGTCACCGAACATCGAAGGCCCTACCTATTACCTATAGCCCCAAACGGTGGTACAAATTGCAGTGGTGTTTAGGGTTTAGAGAGGCTACTACAGGCGCCTTGATAATTAGACTGGGATTTGGGAGCCCATTATACTCTAATTAGAATGGGGCACCCCCAGAATAGTATAGGTAGTTATTAAGGCCCCTAGATTGAGCCAACTCTTGAGCTAATCCTCCCCTAAACCCTAGACCCTAAACCCTAAACGCCTAAACCCCTAAACCCCTAAACCCTCTAAACCATAATCCTCCAAACGTGAGCAGGGACCTCCTCTGCAATCGCCAGGCAGGCTGCTCGTTCCTGAGAGTTCAGACTTTGCAGAAAGGCGTGCTTTGGAGATTTAGGCTCCTACTTTAGGGTTTAGGGTTTAGGGCCTACTCCTACTCCGACTCCTCCTCCCAAGTGTAGGGAGAAAAGCTGCGGCCGGAACTAGGACTACGACTACGGCTCCGACTCATCCTAAACCCTAAACCTAAACCCTAAACCCTAAACCCTAAACTCATCCAAAGAAGTGTAAGGAAAGCTGCGGCCGGAGCACCGCAGCGCACCGCGCCTCCTGAGCCCGCTGTGCTGAAGTCTCGGCCTCCTACGGAGAAGAAGGGGCTTTCCTAGTTCACTGAAGGAACATTATAGTAGTTATAGTAGTAGTAGTAGTAGTAGTAGTAGTAGTAGTACATCGCGAGGACAAAAGTTTTGATCC